AAAAAAAAACATTAAAAAAATTAACAAAACAAAGGACAAGAACCACATGATCCTCTCAATAGATGTAGAGAAAGCATTTGACAAAATACAGAATCCTTTCTTGATAAAAGCCCTAAAGAAAGTAGGGATAGAAGGATCATACCTCAAGTCCATAAAAGCCATATACAAAAGACTCACTGTTAATGTCATCCTCAATGGGGAAAAACTGAGAGCTTTCCCCCTAAGATCAGGAACGGGGCAGAGATGTCCACTCTTCACCACTGTTATTCAACATAGTACTGGAAGTCCAGCCTCAGCAATCAGATAACACAAATAAAAGTCATCCATATCGGCAAGGAGGGTGTCAAACTTTCACTCTTTGTTGATGACATGATACTCCATACGGAAAACCCAAAAAATTTCACCAAAAACTGCTAGAACTGATCCATGAATTTAGCAAAGTCACAGGATATAAAATCAGCGCACAGAAATCAGTTGCATTTCTATATGCCAATAATGAGGCAGCAGAAAGAGAAATCAAGGAATCGATCCCATTTACAGTTGCACCAAAAATCATAAAATACCTAGGAATACACCTAATCAAAGAGGTGAAAAATCTATCCACTGGAAACTACAGAAAGCTTATGAAAAAATTGAAGACATAAAAAAATGGAAAAATATTCCATGTTCATGGACTGGAGAAACAAATACTGTTCAAGTGTCAGTGCTACCCAAAGCAATCTACATATTCAGTACGATCCCTATCAAAATAACACCAGCATTCTTCACAGAGCTAGAACAAACAATCCTAAAATTTGTATGGAACCAGAAAAGACCTCAAATAATCAAAGCAATACCGAGAAAGAAAACCAAAGTTGGAGGCTTCATAATTCTGGACTTGAAGCTGTATTACAAAACTGCGATCCTCAAGACATTATGGTATTGCACAAAAACAGACCCTTAGATCAGTGGGACAGAATAGAGAACCCAGAAATGGACCTGCAAACGTATGGCCAATGAATTTTTGACAAAGCAGGAAAGAATATCCAATGGAATGAAGAGTCTCTTTAGCAAATGGTGTTGGGGAAAGTGAACAGCGACATGCAGAAGAATGAATCTGGACCACTTTCTTACAGCATACACAAAAATAAATTCAAAATGGATGAAAGACTTAAACGTAAGACAGGAAGTCATCATAATCCTGGAGGAGAAAGCAGGCAAATACCTCTGACCTCAGCCACAGCAACTTCTTACTCAACATGTCTCCAGAGGCAAGGGAAAAAAACAAAGCAAAAATGAACTGTTGGGACCTCGTCAAGATACAAACTTCTGCATGGCAAAGGAAACAATCAGCAAAACTAAAAGGCAACCTACAGAATGGGAGAAAATATTTGCAAATGACATATCACATTAAGGGTTAGTATCCAAAATCTGTAAAAAAAAACTTATCAAACTCAAACCCAAAATCCAATCCAGTGAAAAATGGGCAGAAGACATGAATAGACACTTTCCCAAAGAAGACATCCAGATGGCTAACAGACACATGAAAAAAATGGTCAACATCATTCGTCATCAGGGAAATACAAATGAAAACCACAATGAGAAACCACTTCACACCTGACAGAATGGCTAACATTAACAACTCAGGCAACAACAGATATTGGCAAAGATGTGGAAAAAGAGGAACATTTTTGCACTGTTGGTGGGAATGCAAACTGGTGCAGTCACTCTGGAAAACAGTATGGAGGTTCCCCAAAAAATTAGAACTACCCTATGACCCAGCAATTGCACTACTAGGTATTTATCCAAAGGATACAGGTATGTTGTTTTCAAGGGGCACATGCACCCCAATGTTTTTATCAGTGCTATCGATAACGGCCAATGTATGGAAAGAGCCCAAATATCCATCAACAGATGAATAGATAAAGAAGATGTGGTATATATAAACACAATGGAGTATTACTTGGCCATCAAAAAGAATGACGTCTTGAGGCACCTGGTAGCTCAGTTGGCTAAGCATCCAACTTCAGTTCACGTCAGGATCTCACGGTTCATGGGTTTGGGCCCCACATTGGGCTCTGCACTGACAACTTGGAACCTGGAGCCTGCTTCAGATTCTGTCTCTTTCTTTATCAGAAATAAACATTAAAAAAAAAATTAGTCTTGCCATTTGCAATAACATGGATGGAACTAGAGTGTATTATGTTAAGTGAAATTAGAGAAAGACAAATATATGACTTCACTCATGTA